TTTTTTTGTTTGTTTTGTGTTTTCGCCTTATTAATTAGTAAATTCATTTTTTTTTGTTGATTTATTTTTTTTTTCTACAATTTAATTTTTATGTTTTGTTTGAATTTGTTTTACTTTTTTTCTATTGCCATTACATAATAATTATTGAAATTTCTTAAGATTTATTTATTTTTTTTGTTTTTTACTTTTATTTTGCTACAATATGATTTTTGTTTACAAAGTTTTTGTTATGTGTTTTTCATGTTGTAATTTTTATATACGAAAAATAGTTTTTGCTTTTGTATTCAAATATATTATTTACAAAATGGCTATATTGTAATAAAAATTGAGATTGTGCATATTGAATGAAATTTAAGGAATAAGTAAAATTTTGGCAGTAATTATTTTATTGTAAAATTAAAAATAAAATTTAAAATAAGAAATTTATGCGTAGGTAGCGATTAGAATTTTGATACTCGACATTTGTGCGAATTGGAATAATTATATTTCCAAATAGATTCTGCATATGTGTAGAAATTAGCTCTTATTTTTTAATTCAACTAAAATTTATTGATAAAATTTTGAGCTTTTTTCGTTTGAGCTTTAGTGCCTTTTATCATATTTATAATAAGTTTTCGATATAAAATCATAAAATTATTACTTAATTGTGGTTTGTAAAATTTTTTAACTTTCTCAATTTAAATTGTTTTTAAAATATCTCAATATAAATTAAATGCGACTTTAAATCTTGTTTTTTAAATTGGCAGTAAAAATTTTATAGTTTTTCTGTATAGTATTTGAACTAAAATAATGAATTTTAATAAAATTAATGAAATGATAACAAATTGATTGTAATAAAATAATTAGATCCGAGACAATTTTGACAATTTTGAAATAAAAATATATGCGATATTTAAAATTAGACACAATTTTATTTTAAAAAAGGTCAGTCTTAAAATTGTATCGGCTATTATAATATTATTGACATATGCATTTAATAGAAAAATCATATTATTCTTATAAAGTAGACAGTAAGTTTGTAAGTAACGTAATTTGAAATCAAGTTAGTATTATAGTAATTCTAAGTATGCTGCATAATTTTCATATTTTGTATTAAAATAATACTGTAAAAATTGTGTAATATTGCATTCATTTTAAATGTTTTTCACCTGTATCAAAATGATTATATACTTATAGTTTATAAGTACATATTATTTGTTTTAATATACGAAAAAAATATTAATTACTTATGAACGTGATGTGGCGATATTCTTATATTTTTTTATTAGAGCTATTTAAGTGATTTTATTTTTTCTTGTTTTTCACAACATTGTGTTTATTTATTGCAGTTTAATGTTATAATTTTAATATCTTAATTTTATATACATTTTTATTTATTATGGGGCTGATTTACTTTAATTTTCATATGTAAATTTTGAATAAAATAAAAATACTTATATATGAGAATATTATGCAAGATTCATGCCCGATTTTTAAATTTAAATTATATTTGTTATATTAAAACTCTATTTTCTGTTTACGGCAGCTTAAATCTTAAATATTTCCGAATAAATTCATGAAATACCTACTTTTTAAAAAACTGCAATATTCAAATTCAATTTATTGCAATTTATTAAATAAATTTATTAAATAAATCCCATAAGTAGATAGTTAGAAAAATTTTTATAAAATAATTTATTTCTTAATCAAATTCAAAGAAACCTGCAATGTAATGTATGTTTTTAGAAAAAAAAAATATTAAATATTTAAATACGACCTCATTAATTTTTAACAAATGCGAGCATGTATGGTAGAAAATTTTAAGCGGCAGTGAATTTTGTTTTATAGTCTTGAATTCACAATATAAAGTGTATTATTTGAAATAAAATTCTACAAATACATTTTTGATTGCGGCAACTACTTGAACGAACTCTTAAAATTTAATATTATTACAAAAAACAAAATTCGCCATTCAAATTTAATTGTTATAAAAATTATTTGCATCATTAAAAAATTGTTATTTTGCACAATAAAAATTGAAATTTTTGTATATTATTGTTTATTACACGAATTTTCCATTTTATATTCATTTATATTTTATGTAATTTTGACTTCAATAATTAAAATTTTATGTACTTAAAATAAAATTAGAAGATAATTTTAATTTCAATAAAAAAAATAAATTCTAAAATTCTATACTATTTAATTAATTAAATATTTTATAATATTTATAAAATTATATAATTATTATGAGAGGAGTACAAAGTAAAGCAAACAAATAAAATCACTATCACAAAATTATAATATTAAATTATGTAAGTAGGTATTTATGTTTATAATATTATTATAAAAAGAAAACAAATCAAAATTAAAAACATATTATAGTTTTATTATTTTTACATTATTAAAATTTCAAAGACATTATAAATTTACAAATTAATTTTTTTTTTATGTTTATATTATTATACAAATATTAAATTTTGAATTTGAATATTTTAATACATACATAATATACAGGATGCCTTGTAAAAAATGTGATTAATTACATTAGAACTGATAAATGATTGGTAAGGGTTGCTGATTTTGAAATTTTAAAAAAATATTATTGCCGTTGCAATGTTTTGCTAAATGGAAAACTGAAAGCTACCATTTCTGACTCATATTTTTGTTAATTTTATATAATTAATATCAGAAATTAAATCATATTTATGAAAAATTAATAGATTTAGGAAATGATAATCTCTGATTTTAGTAATATTATTCAAATATTTTTTGCTCATTTGAAAATTCGAAATCCTAGTAAAAGCACAAAACTTGTGAAAAATTCTGAATTAATATTTTGAATTCTGGATTAATATTTTACAAAAGTTGTGAATGAAAATTTAAATCCAAGAATCTAAAAAAAATTCATATTTTTAATGAAATAAAATTAATTAATAGCAAAATTGTATCCTTACAAAAAAAAAAGTAAAATTTTATTCATGACTTGAATTCATTAAATTTTTGTATTCTTTAGAATATTTCGAAAATTAATAATGTACAAATTAATACTTAACATAGAAAAATTTTAGTCTTAAATATAAACAAATAATTGGTGAAGCATTCATATTTTTTATATTGATAACATGAATTTGGTGGTATTTTTAATATTATTAATTTAAAAGTTTATATAAATTGGAACTAGTAGAACGAATTTTAAAACATCCTGTATACAATAATGATATTTAAAAATTAAAGATACAATGCTTATAACAAAAATTTTTACAAAATTTTTTAATTAAATTTTTATTATTATGTTTATTTTTTTTTATTTTTTAAATTTACATTAAGTTGTTTCTTTTTTGCTTTTATTTATTTATTAAATATTATTATTTAATTTATATATATATATATATATATATATGCATATTTTATACACTATTTATAATATAAATCTAAATTAACCATTATAAATATCACAGGTTTTTTTTTATAAATATATATATATATAATATATTGAGTTGTTTGTTTTTTAGAAAAAATTATATAGAGGAAAAATATTATAATTTAGAATTGAATTTTCAAAATATAAAAAAAGATAAAAATGAAAATCAAAAATTCAAAATGTTATTTAAATGTAATTAAAAATTAATTTAATATTTATATTATTTTTCTTTTATTAATTTTTAGTTTATTATTTTTTATATTTTTTTTTGTTTTTCGAAATTATTTATTTTATTTTAAAATAAGCCAATTTTTGCTTTATTTTTTTTATTAATTATAAAGTATGGTAAATTTCTTGTTATAATTTTTGTTTTTTCTTTCTCTTTGTTTTTACTTGATATGTGGTTATATTTTTTTTTTATTTCATTATATTTTTTTAATTATTATTATTATATTTTTCAAAATTTTTTCTTTGAAGAATTTCTTATACAATATACATACATAGCTATATTATTTTATTTTGTAAGGAAAATCTTTTCAAAAATTGAATTGAAAATGTTTTAAAACATGCAATGTTTTGATAATCAGAAAATATTGCATAAATTTAGGAGAGCTCCTTTTTACAACACTGTGGCAATTTAATTATTAGAAAAATTTTCATTTGCCCGACATCAGTAAGATCTCACTAGTATTTTTTTGATTTGATTGTTTTGATATTGAAATACAAATGAATAACATAAACTGGAAGTAATATTCTTACAAAGCACATAGTAATGCAATTGTACCAAAAACGAACAGTTTAAATGCTGATTAAATAGTTTTATGCTTGAAAACTTTGAATTTTCAAAATTCCATAAATGGAAGAATAATTGGTTATAGACTTTGCATTACAAACTTTATTTTAAAATACCGGTGGGGTAGAAATTTTTTTAACAAAAACCAATACTAAAAATGTTTTTTATATTATTGAATGTAAAATTTTTTTAAAATTTTAAATTACTTTCTTCAAATTTTGAATAATTTGATGAATTTTTTTAAAGATTCTTGCGTGTATTCTTTAACTGTGTCTAAGATCTTGAAAATTATTATCTTTTTCATATTTGCGAATAAAATAATTGGTCTAAACCACCTCAATATTAAGAAACTATAAATTTAAAATCAAGTACGTATGAAATTTTTTAGTGAAATCCATAAAAAAAATACACAAACGCAATAAATTTATTATAATTATAATAATCAAAATGAACTGAAATTCAAGTTTTTCTTCAATAATTGAAAAGATTAGCTATTAATTTTATAGGAGAATTAATTACATTTAAACATTCATATTAATAATAAAAATGAATTGATAATTACATTTTTATTGGCTTTATGTACGTATATTCGAAATTTTAATCTCTACATAAATTAATTTTTAAAATAAAATTTAAATTGAAAATTAAATTTGAAATCTAATCTTATTAATTAATTAGGTATCCAAAAAATTTTCACATTTTTATAACATTATTATCAGTAATTAATTTAATTGTTATTTTATAATTATCCTTTTTTGCTTGTGATTTCGTGATATACAAAATTAGTAAATTTAAATTTTTAAAAAAAATTTGTTAGAAAATTATTTACAAGAATAAATTTTGAAAAAGAAATCAAACTTTTAAAAGTAAAAAACAAACATAAAACATTTTCTTTTTCTTAATTTAAATTTTTCAATTATTTTCTTAATTTAAAATTTTTAAGTTTCTAATTAATTATTTGACGTAGTTTTTCCAACAACTTGTAATGGAATATTATTTTGCATTGCTTTTGCAGCCAATGCTGTTGGCATTGGATCAATAGCTTCAGCATATAAACATGAACTTTCACTACATGAGCATGTATCGCCATCACCATCTCTGGAACTATTATAACAATCACTACAATTATTAATTCTATGTTGATCATTACGATTATTTGTTGATTCATTAACATCATCTGTTATATTGGCACTACTACCTTTACCACCAACTACAACTCCATTAGTATTAATTTCACAGCCACAAGATTTTAACATATGTTCATGTTCATCAATTTCTTGATAACCATTTAAGCTACCGCTATTACCATTTATTAAACGATTATTAATATTATAACTAGGATTACCTGTTTTATTAATATTATTATCTTGTGATTGTTGTTGTTGTTGCTGTTGTTGATGCTGTTGTTGTTGTTGTTGATGATGATGTGATGAAGGTGGTTGACCATTATTGTCAATAGCTGTTGAATGTGAATTACTATTTTGCCGTAATATTCCTGGATGTTGATGTCCATGTCCAGTATTACTATTATTATGTGATTGTTGGATATGACTATTATTAATACTATTATTACCATGAATATGTGAATGCCCATTAATACCACCAGTACTATTATGATGATGTTGATGATGACCATTTCTAATTGATGAATGATCTGAACATTCAGAGGAACATGCATAAATTTGATTTTGATGGCTAGCACTTTGATGTAATGGTTGATACCATTCTGTTGAACTAGGTGGTGGTAAAGGTTGTTGTGGTGATGAAAGAGCATCACAACTATTACAACTTCTGTTAAAAATAAGAAACACAAATAAATAAAAAAAAAAAACACGATTGTAAATAAAAATAGTAATGACTCGAAATTTGTAAAAATTTTAATATTTAAAATTTTTTTTTCCAATTAATTACCTTCCATTCGAACATCTAGAATTATGACCATTAGTTGGTTGATATTCAGATATACCATGTCTAGCCGATGGATAATGAATATGCATTTGACGTTGTTGTATTATTTGTTGACCATTAATCGGATGATAATATGGTAATGGTGGTGGATGTGAACCAGTTGGTGTTATCTGATATCTTCCTTGTACCGGTGGAACATATTGAATCGGATTATTATAATAATTTTCTTGTCGGCTATCACAATTACGTTGCCCAGCGAATGGATTCTGTCCTATTACATTCCAATTTGAAAAACCACCAGAAGAACTGCTATGTTGTGATGTATTCATAGTACTATTATTAATTAATATTATAAAAATTAAATGCAAGTTCACATATATTAGAAAATTTGCTTACCTCTGGTGAACAGACATTCCAGATCCACCAGATTTTGAACTTTTACGGCTTGATTGTGGACTACCTGGTGGATAACAAGTATTTTGTGGCACTGGTGGTGGATGTTCTGGCGGTGGTGGTAAGAATTCTGACCAATTGATTGGATCTTTATTAGAAATTTTTTTTTTTGGAAATCGAATATTATAATGTTATTGTTGGTGGTATTATGTAAAGTGTATTGTTTTCAATAAAACAATAACAAATAATAGTAATAAACAGAAAAGAGAAGAATGAAAATAAGAAATAAAAGAAATTAATACAAGAAAATCAAAAATTAAAAAATATAAAATTAGTAATTAAAATTAAGTATTTATTGTTAGTATAATTAAAAATAAATAGAATTACAAGTTTTCGAATATTTTAAAACTAATAATAATAAAATTAATTGGATTTTACTGTTAACTTTAATCTCAATATGAAATCTTTATTAAAATTTGTTTGTATTAAAAAAATTTAAGTGTTACCATTTCTATATTGTCTTATATGTGAATAAATACTAACCTGGTGGATATTGATGATAATTATGTTTATTTGGACCAGCAACAATATAACCCTGTGGTGGTTGATCTGAATGTGGACTATGTGTTCCAGAATCATGATCAGTACTATTATTTGATGTATTTTTAATACAATTATCAGTTGATGTAGCACCAATAATCATTGTTGTTGCATATGGTGTAGGATTATCTGGTGACTATAAAAAGAATAAAATATTTTAATAAATAGAAAAATTTTTTTTTTTATTTTAGTTTTCATTTAAATTAAAAAAAAGGTTATTTTTCACATCAAAAGATCAAAAAAAAAAACAAACACAAAATTTCTTTATGCAAATTTTGTTTTGTATTCCCAAAAAGGAGAAAAAGCATAAGGACTACCCAACACGTTCTAAAGAGGACGAACGCTTTTCAATAAAACAACAACAATAGACAAAATTCTATATTGAAAATAAGTGTATATATGAATAAAGAAATGAGTGGTTGATTATCGAAGCATGACCCTTTTAAGGGATTATAATAAAATTCTTATTCCAGCCCCGTATATACACAACAAAATTAAAATATTCTTTAGATTCTTATATATATATATATACATCTGATATACAATTGTTACAATAAAACACATTTGCAATATAGCTTAAAAATAAAGGGGGAGACAGGATATACAACTGTACACATATACGGTTGAACGCATTAAGAAGGACAATTTTTTTATATTTTTTGTTGGATTTTTAACTTCAAAACAAAATTTTTTTCAATTTATAAAAAAATAAAGCATATTTCCATATACATTATGATGCTTTTGTTCAAATCCGAATAATAAAAAAAATAAAATTCTAATTCTTTGATTGTAATGCCATTTGAACACCAATACACACTTAAAAAAAAATTTTCTGATTTGTGACATTGTACTAAACAACATCCGTCGCCTTATTATTCTTTTTATATTCTCTATAAAAATTTTTGTATCTTTTTTTTCTTTTTTTTTGTTTTACTTACTTTTCGGCAATTATAAAATGTACTTAAATTTCTTGTATCCACTTCAGCGTAATCAGTTCCCCCATCTGATGCATAATTTGATTGACTGTTTGGATTCGATAATAATTTTGTTTCACTTAATCCAGAATCTTTATCAGTATCAGTTGTACGCCAACCCCTATCAATCCATAAACTTTCTTTACCATTAACATTTAAGGCTGTTATTTCATTGGCACTAACAACTGAAAGGACAATAATAATAAAAGGATTTTTTTTTTAGCAAAATTTGGTTTTTTTTTTTTTTATTCGATTGCATGCTATTTTTTATTGCCATTCATTCAGTTCAGATTAAAAAATAAAAAAAAAAAATAAAAAAATCGAAGGGAAAAGAAATTGAAAGGAATTTTATGTTGGAAAAAAATCATGAACATAAAAAATATTTATATGGGAAGGATTTACAATAGAATTGATTTGAATAAGATTTTTAAATATTCCCGGTTAATATTAAAATTGCATATATAGAAAATGAAAGGATATAATATTAATAAGGGATTTACTATATACATACGTTATAGACAAGTGGAATTTTTCTTGTAAAAATTCAAAGAAAGAAAATTCTAAAAAAAAAAAGGACATATTTAAATTGTTCGGAATCACAAAAGAAACGTATTTCTACTTAAATTTCTTTTTAAATCAGGATAATATTTTAAGTTTAATAATAAATTTTCTAAGGACATCATAATATCGTTATATAATTTATCCTTATGTATACCTATTTCAATATCTTAATCAATGTATTCAATCAATATACGGAAAACAAAATATCCTATGACCTGAATACTAAACAATTGATTTTTTATAATAAATTTTTGATTTTATTATATAAATAATATTATGCTTGATTAAAAGTCAATAAGTGTTAAATACGTATATGATGAGGAAGTCGAATGAAAAAAATTTTATACGTTTTGAAATCAAGAGAAAGTAAATATGATTTTTGCAGAATTTTTCTAAATTTAAATTTAAGATCGATTCTCTGATGAATCTATTGTAAAAGAATAGATAGTTGATGCTGATTAATATTTTATATACAAGATGTTTAGCAAAATGTGGCAAATGTTTGCAGGGATGATCCGTTGATCAATTTCCAGCAAAAAATTGTATGAGTGGAACCACGGAAAAATGAGTATTTCTGAACCCTTACAATTTTTTGCTGGAAATTGAACAAAGAATTATTCTTAAAATTATTCGTCACCTTATGCGAAACACCCTCTATGCGATTTTACTATAAAATGGTATATATACCTTAATATTAAAAAAACCTTATACCTTACTGTAAAATGGAAATATAATATGGCTATAATAGAATCAGATTAAATATGTCACGTTTTTAATTATTCCCTTTTAAATATTTAACATTGCCGAAAAAACACTTTCACCATACCCTGTATTACACAGTCTTATTTCTGAAATTTCAAATTACTCATAATGTAGATAAAATATTGCATTGTACTAAAATTTATCCAAAATATCAGATAATTAAAATTTCTGCAAATTTTTTGCAGATTTTTGAAGATTACAATAATAAAATAAATAAAAATTAAATGATATTTCTACAATTTATTAGAAAATAATTGATTTTAAAATCGCAAGTAAAATTGAACTAAACAAATAAAACTAAATAAGATACTCAAATACTGTTGAAATGTCCCTCAGATAATTAATTTCTATATATCAATATATTATACTTAATCATTTTAAATCATACAAAACCTTCTAACTTTAGTATAGTCCTGTAGCGTATGTGTATTAAAACTCTATGGTGTCAATTAATATATTAGGAAGTTCTTAAAGCATATGCTGATATTTTCAAATGCAGAAGACAAAAATTTAGATATTTTCAAAAATTTGAATTCAATGGAGAGCTTTATACTCAAATAGTAAATTAGTTTATACCGTATGTATGAAGATAACTAGAGTTTTAAAGAACTGGTGTAATTTTTATCGGTAACTAATTTGAAAAAGAATTTTTGCGGTAGTTTATAAGACAATAAGTAATAATATTTTTTAGCTTTTACATACGTTGTATATATTCTCGCCTGCGCCTAATTATATATTATGCGGTAGTCTGAAGAGAATTTTTCTCTCTTTTTATTTTTTAAAGTGAATTGAAAATGCCATGAAAAATTGAAACTCAATTGAAAATTCATGAAAAATTGAAACTCAATTGAGTAGATTTTAACCAAAAATTCCCTTCTGCACTTTCATTCCTCTATAATTCCGATAGCCTTAATGCATACTATTTATTCTATATAATTTAAAATCAATATTGCAAAGCTTTATAATTTTCAAAAAAAAATTTTAAAATAAATGCTTTCTATTAATTAATATTTAAATGAAAATTTCATTATAATTTAAAATTAATATAATTAAATTAAAAATATATTTTACAATTAATGATATCGAATTTCCGATAACTTTTCAATTTTATATTGTATACAAATTAATTAAATATTCGTTCTTTTTTACAATGATAATAAATTTTTTAAAAAATAATTAATTGTGTACTTAAAAATACAAAATGAAAACATGTGTTTCTGATTAAAATCGCATTCCTTCATAAGTTTGAAAATTTTGAAAAATCAATGAAAAATGATAAAGCATTTTTTTTTTTAATAATTATTATTATTATTGTTTGTTCGGTACTTGAATTCGAAAAATAAAATTATTTAAAAAAAAAATTATATAAAATAATAATAACATGAAAATTATAAATTTACTTTATTCGAATAATAAATTTTCTACAATTTTAAATATTGTATAACAGTTTAATACAGAATAGTTTTAATAACCGTATTATTATATTTTAAAATATTGATATTATATGATTAACACGTGTAGGTGGTTATAGCTTTATTATGTGCAAAGTTTGCCTGATTTGGGTTAATAAAATAATGAAAAGAAATGAAATACACTTAGATATGCAAAGTGGTTGTTTATAGCTTTCACCTATAAAATATTTGAAATATTTGAAAATGAAAATGATTTTTGTGAAATGAGATTACAGGTAAGTGCATTTGAGAAATTAAAAACTTCTATTATCGTAAATTCAAAATGATTTTTCTTAACAGAGTTAAAATCCTCAAGCAAGATTTAATTAAGATTATTCAGCAATTTAAAAACTACTTTAAAATTTAATTCATTCACACAATTTATTTTTCGAATCCAAAAATTAAATGGAAAATATCTTCACTGTCAAGTATTTTAATTAAGTTGAATTAAAAGTATGGAAAATTTTTGACTAGAGGAACTAAAAAACTTTGTTCTTTAATGATGTTAACAATTAAAGTATAACTAGAGCAGAATAATAGATTTAATATGAAATGAGACGGAGTATATGCGGCTATTCATGCAAAAATTTAGTAAACCAATGTTAATATTTTCAATGTAATTAAAGAAAAGTAAAAAATATTTCAATAGAATGAAATTTACCCAATGGTAAATCCTTAATTTTAAATTTTCATTGAAAACATCTTAAACAAATTAACTTTGTGTGAAATTTCTATATAATATGGTGTTATCAAATATAATGATTTTCCGATATAATTATCAAATATCTCTTGGATTATTTCGAAAATAATAATAAAATTTTATTCATATTTAGATTTCAATATACTCATTAGAATCCTTATCTTTTTGTAAAGGAAACACATAAAATCTAATATCATTCATTAAAAACATAAAATATTATGGAAAACATTAACTCATTTGTATCTTAGAATGACTTTATTTAACTCATGTGCCAGTTGCTGCTATTTATTTATTGTAACCACAAATATCATTTTCACACGTACGGTCATTAATATTTAGTATGTTTTTTTCCTGTATTTACATACACACATATAATTAAAATAGATAACACTGACTTTAAACGTAATTATTATTAAAAGTTTGTATGTATTGTGTGTGTGTGTGTGTTATATGAATGAATGTTTAATATTTGATTGTTATAATATTTTAATATTCAAAATTTTTTTTTGTTGATAATCCTTAATATTGTATTATTGTGAACTCGTCCTTATTCACATTTATAGCTATATACATAAATTTACAAAAGTACACATATAGATATAAAATATTTTCAATATTTCAATGAATAGAAAAATATTATTTAGTATATAATATGTGTGTTATACATAGCATATAATATTACATACAAAATATGGTATGTAATATTAAATATAAGTATACAAAATATACGAAAATTATTATATGTATACAAATGATGAATACATAACAGTATATATAAATATATACAATAAAATAAAACTTACCACTTAAATGTCCCAATTCTTTTGTTAATTGATGACGTCTCTTAAAAAACATCATTGCTGCAGCAGCTGATATTAATATTGCTAAAAGCATTGTTATTACTAAAACCATAAACCATGTTTCATGTACAACATTTGATGATTTTCGATGTGTTGCTGTTGTATCATCATTTATACCATTAATATTATTTATACCATTACTATTACTATTTGAACCGGTAATACCATTTGGACCGGCACCATTTAATGAACCGCTTGGATGAGCTCTTGGTGGTGATATTAAATGAGCTGGATCCATAACTAATGCTTTCTATATACATAATGCACATACATAAATTTGCATTTTTTTGTTTCCATATTGCAAAAATTTTTAGTTTAAATTATAAAATCCATATAGGTTATGTATATATTTTGTATAAAATCCAGTAGTAGTATAGAAGAGTTCAAATACGAAGAAATATTCATATGAAATGAAAAAAAAAAAAGAATTAAGAAAAATTATAGTACATTAGTATAACAGTTTTATAAATGATGGTATTTAAAATATTTTATGACAATTATCGTTTATTTATTTTGTATGAAACATTTATGTATGTGTTTATACGGGCATATTATGCGTGCCTATATATACCGAATACAAAATTTTTTATGTATATATGTACATATTTTAAAAATAATGCATTAAAATGTATGAGCAAAATTTTACAGATAATTAATCATCAATTGGAATGGCTATAAAATAAAGGTGTCGCATATATTTGTATTCATATACATTATGTATTCTATTGTTCGAACAATATTTACTCATGTATTTATTTAAGTACATATTATACTTAATTACGAATAGAAAGTACATATACAATATAATGTGCTTAGAAATGAATGTCGTATAAGCATGCAATATTTGAATGAACAAAAAGGTCTAATTTTCACATTAATTCGAAAATTTTGAGAAAAGTTACAAAAAATTAAATTGTGAACACGAAAATTACATTTGAAATTTTATGTATATAATATGGTATTTCGAAATAATGTAAAAATTCTGTAGTTTTTAAAAGTGCTCTTACTTTCCTTTTGCACATAGGGATGTGCTCTGTGTAATTATAGTGTTATCTATTTAGGTGGATCGTTCCGAAAGTGTCTATACTTAGCTATTAAAATTGCAGCTTTTTTGATATATTAAGGAGTATTTTGTGAATAAAGTCGATTAACTTAGAATAGGAAAAAACCAAAAAAGATTTCAAGTAAAATTGAAAAGTAGAAAAAAATTCTGTATTGGAACCGCAATTCAATATTCTTTAGCCTAAAAAGACCCAATTTATTAAATGAAAACCTTTCCTAAATTTGCTCATACTTTCGAAACTAAGTAAATTATATTAATAAAATTTTTAATTATATGCATATATACAGTCTCACCTACATAACACGAATCACTATTTCGCACAAAATTATTTTAAGATTATGAAGAATTTCGGTTTATGGAGGATCATCGTCTTAAGAAGTCAAAAATGAAAGAAAATTTTATTCGTGATGCAAAATGCAATCGATCGTGTTATTTAAGAATTTGTAAGTGAACCACGGATATATGCCATAATTATGACTACAGTGGCCTCCATAACTATATTAAAAAAATTTTAAAGATTTATGAAAACATCAAAAGTATACATAACACATACTCACACGTGAACACACAGGCATGTGCATTTAAAAAAAAACTGGAAATGAGTCCTGTTTTTTCTTTTCGCTCAGCTCTGAGAATAATTATATTTCTCTAGCACAGTTTATCACAATTCTCAATAAAAATTATAGTAATAATTTTTTTAATAGAGGGAGAGTTGAAATGTTAAATTGCAATTCAATATGAAATCATGAATTTTAGTAATATTTTAAAGGATATTTTTGTATCTATATAGTGTACAATAAAAAATATATATTATAAAACAGAAAAGAAGAAGAAATTTTCATAATATATTGAGAAAAAGGATAACTTTTTTTTATTATTATATTGCCACGTTCTATACAATTATAATTTTAACACTCGAATAAATCAAAATATTTCAAATATAATTTAAGAACATTGTATTCGGAACATATACCTTTACCATATTGTAATATTCATACATAAAAATGCAACATACATATATATACATATAGGTACATAATAAACAACGTTTGTTTTCAATAGAATACCACAAATTATTACAATAAAATTTAAATGTGTTTATTATACTTACGGGCTGTGAAAATGGTCCAGCACCAACTCTTGTAAATGCTACCACTCTAATATTATATGTTGCTCCAGTTGTTAAATTATTTAACATAACTGACATGGTTGTGGCATTTAATGTCATTTGTGCTAAGACTTTTGTTGAATTACCAGCTTTTACCTATATAATTATAAAAAATAAATATAATTAAAGAATTATAAGGTATTGCATTAAATCAAAAACCAAATTTCTACCCATATAAATAAGGTATGAATTTTTTTGTTTTTTTGTATATTATTGCCATAACATTTATATAAATCTGTATATAATAATTATATTTTACACAATATATACATTTAAATTTTGTATTATAAATTATCATTTGTAAGAATAATTTATTGTAATATTTTAATGGTGATGACGCCATTTTTTTTAATACTTAAATTTCTATATATAAAAAATTTTGTAAATAAGGACGAAGAGTAGTAGGAGAAATTGTAGACTATACGAAATGTTAGAATAATTTGGTTTGGTATTTTTTTCGAAAAAAGCATTCACATTACACCCTTAACGTGAATATTTTGTAATTATTTTTCATTATACTGAAAATTCCTTTTGAACATTAAAATACTTAAAGATTTTCTTTTATTACACGCGATATTTTTTTTTTTACTGAATTTAAAATAAAAGAAAATTATACAAATGAATAAATGAAATAAATTTTATGATGCTAAAAATATTTGCAATAAAAATAACTTTCTTAATTATTGTGGGTGCAATGAATAAATTTTTTTGTTCATTTTAACTTCGTTGCCTAAATTGTAACTTAATGAGTTCCGGTGTTTGTTTTAAATTCAAAACCTAATAAAATAAAACAGGATATACCATAGAAGACTTTGAAATTAAATAAGTAAAATTAGAAAATTTTTAAATTACTTTAAGAGTTACTGGCTTTTTATCAACTTGAGACAATCTTTATATAAGAAAAACTTTTACGTTAAGCAAAAAAATTACATATTGCATATACAAGGTGTTCCATAACAAAGTACACTGCTGCTATATACCATAGTAATGGTCTTCATGAATAGGCAAAATTTTTGTATGAAGACAACGTTCACAGCTCAACAGGTTTGGAGTTACAAGTGATTAAAATTAATTTTAACTTATTTTTTTTTTTTTTTGAAATTTTAGGTATAACTTGGTACCTGTATAAAACAAGCGCATTATTAGATTTAATTTGGAGACCTCAGAATAACGCCTTGCTTATGAATATCTACATTAGTTATAATAAATGTTCTTAGTATATAACAATTGTTACGATTTTCATAATTTTAATAAGAAATTTTTCAGATTATAACAATTGAAAATTGTAATTTCTTTCCATAATTATACTGAGAAAACCCCATTTGTAAGTGAGTCTCATTTAAAACTTAATATTCAAAGCCACAAACTTCAATAATTAAAACCATATATGCAATAAACTAAATAACTTAAAGATCCTTGGTAATTTCGTGAATTTTAAAATCAAATAAAATTATATTTAATATCTACACTGAAATTTAATGTTATTTATTGCAAATTCTATAGCTATCCTTTTTAACATTGTATAATATAGAATATCCAATAAAATGATTCTATTTTATAACCACAAATATATAATTCAAAATTTTGTAAAACCCTGTTCAATTTATCGATATAATGTTATAGCAATAATAATAATAATAGTAATAATAATTAAGTTTATTTAGTGTAATAACGATAATAATAATATTAATAACATTGTAATTTCTTATATTATTTTGAAATTATAAAATTTTACCTGTATTTTATATCCTAATAATATACCATTATGATGTTGTGGTGGTGGTGGTGACCAACGTACCCAACCGGCTGTTAAATTTAGCATACCAGTTTGAATATTATCTGGTGGTAATGAAGGAACTAAAATCGAAATTATATAAAATAATTATTGAGAAATATAATTAAGAAAATATACAAAATTTGTAAATTAAATACTAAATTTATTGATTAAATAATTATAACTATTATAATAAATGATTTAATTCTGAAATGAAGTGGAATATTAATAATTTAAAGTAAAGAATATAGAATTTCTCTATATAGAAAACCACAAAAACCACAAATCTTTAAAAATAAATGAGAGAATTTTAAATATAATTTGAATTTACTTATTATAATGGCATATTTGCAGAGATGAATGAGAAAATTCACTTTAATTGAGTGTGTATTAATAAAATTAAAAATTAATAACAAAATTTTTTACTTACTATCTTCCATTGTTTGAATAATTTTTGAATTACTCGGTTGCCCTTCTAATGTACGATAGAATGGTGCTAAAAAGAATTCATATTTTGTAAATTTTTTCAAATTCGATACAATATGTGTTTCTAATGATGGTGTTAAAACTGTCATAATATTATATTTTTGAGCACTATCACTCATATCACGAAATCTGATATAAAGACCCTGTAAATAAATAGAGAAAAATTATATTTTAGTATGAAAGTGATTTAGAGATTAATATTAAAAAATATTAAATTATATGATATTTTTGAATATTAATTAAGAGATAATTTTTATGCCGGTTTCGATCTCACACAAATATTACTGAAAGTTCGAATTCTAGGGTATCAGTTAAGTATGTACTTAAAACTCATAGAATTTTCTATTTAATTTTCTCGTTAATTATGAAAAACAATAAAATTTTTTAAATTTATTTGAAATTAATCTTAAAAAGATAAAAATAAATTCGTCGATCACTATAGTGAAATATTCAAAGGACTTTAATTCCGAAAATATTCTGATGGTAATATTTACTCATTTTATAACGAGAAAGCAAAGACCATAAACAAAAAATGAAAAAAACGGAAAATTCATTTTGATAGCTTTAAAATAATATTTTCATTTCATTTCCTAGGAAATTGAAAAATAAATAAAATGTTATTTTCCACATTTCCAGTTATTCAATCAAAAAAACAAATTTTTTACTAATTACGATGATAACCGAAAGGGAAAATGGTGTATTTTATAGTGAATTTTTTTTTTTTTTTTTTGAAAATGCTATATACCATTACAAGAATTTTATTCAAATAAAATAGTGAAAATATCTACTCTATTCAAATATTTACGTTATATACAGTAATTTGTATGCTTTATACATTTACGATATTCGGGTTCATCTATAGATTATATATGCAGAAAATGTTAAACAAATTTTCTTTAATGGTGTATATTTTTTGAATTTCATGTGAACTATATAGAGTTCAGTATGTTGATATAGTAAATTTTGAATTCAATATTAATGGTACAGTACCAATTTTTATAAGTAAAGAATCATTAACTTATGTTGTGAACCATTACTAATTATTTAATATTAACCATTGAACGGACAAGTGAAATAAGTGTTTTTAACAAAAATATTCAAGACAAAAATTAAAAATTACTCCCTTAGTACTTCTTATACTATTGTCAATTATTTCGGAAACAAATTCATAATTTTCAATTTCTTAATACCAACATAAGAACTATTTAAACTTGAATTAAGCATAGTTTTTGTATATGGTAGACATACGTCTATTTGCTTAAATCAGGTTTGGTAGTTTTCAAAATTAAAAGAATTTTCAGAGTAGTCTTTTATGTTTGAACAAAATTTACAAATTATATACAGTAAATTCCTTTCGAAATTTTAAATTTAGCTTCTGTAGAACACAATCTTTTCGACATAGTAGTTAAGTCTTCGCTAAAATCAGGATTACATATGAGAAATTTTGTACTAAAATTATGTTGGGGTCTTGTTATACATAACCATTGATTCTTTATATTAATATTTAGTACAATTTACAAAATCTAAGAAGTACTATAATAAAATTCACTCTAGCTTTTAATGCGTGAGAAAAACTAAATTTTTAATTTCAAGCGTTACTTGTTTTTAACCATATTGAAATTTTAATTAAAATTTTTTAAATATTTTTATTTTATATTTTGTAAACTATAAGTAAAAGTGAATAAAAATAAAAAAAAAAAATTTCTTTTTACCTCAACATATTCTTCTGTCATGCTAACATGCAATTGCCAATCTAAACGTACTGCTGTTGAATTAATAGCAACGGCATCGATAAGTTCGACCACCTGAAAATAGACGAATAAAACAAACATGAATTTAAAAATAAATAAAAATTAAAGAAAAAAAAAAAAAAAGAGGAAAATTTTTCTTTTTTTTTTTCAATTTTTCACAAACAAATTTTCTTTTATTTTTCAAAACTTAAATTTCCGTTTCATTGAAAATAAATTGTATACTATATATACAAAGGTAAACAATATTGTAAAAAAAAAAAGAAGGAAAAAAATTTAAAAGTACAAATGAAAGGAAAATTCGTTTGTCCGAATCAATCACACAACCACAAACAAAAGTTTAAATTTATTCATATACCGTATATAATGTTGGATAATTACATAATGGTATACCTGTGTATGTAAATTTACATGTCATGTAAATCGAATGTTTGTAATATGTAACACACGCTATCATTTGTAAAAATGCTTATATAGTGAAATTTAAATTCGATATAGTGAATGAAACACTAAAAATTGCGGTAGGCATAAAAAAGGAAAAATACACGCAAAACAAAAACAAGTTATTCATTTAATAGTATCCACTAAAAGCGGTTTAATGAAAAGTGATCAATTGAAAATATCTATATACATACTTATATACAAAAAAATATAACCAACATTTTCCATATTGGTTTTGATTTGAGGTTGAAATTTTCAATTTAATAAACTTAAAAAATAATTTTTTTTTTTTGCAAATTATTATACCATAACCATTTTTACATTAAATCAATATACTGTGTAGTAATAGTAAGTTAATTGTAATATAATTGAGATATAATTAAATTGAATAGGAATATAAAATTATATTATTATATAAAAGAAAGGTAATTTAAAATTTTTCCTCTCACACTGTACATTTTAGTGTGTAGATCCATAGTAAATAGAATCCAAAAAAAATATTGCAATAAATTTTTAATTATACGTATACTCGTACACATAATAATGAAAAATTAGATGTGACTTGGCGCACTCTAATTTTCATAATAAATACAAAATTACGTATTATAAAATGTTTAAAGCTACTTATATAAATATCCCAAAAATTGAGAAATTTCCCACAATTTAGTATATTTCTGAAATCATTAGTAATTTAGTATTCTCCTGGAATTATTTAGGTACTTATAAAAGTAGTATCAAATCTTGTAGGTGCTTATAAAAGTACCCAGAAGAACTAATATTTTAAACGGAAATGCCTGAGAGAACATTACAAAAGAATTTTAAGCATATAAGCAACAGAACTCGGTATGCATGTACATATCACGCTTTACCACTCACTAATTAAGATTATTACAGAATAACAATTAAATTGATTATATTTTCAGTTTAATACATTTCTAATTTTTACTCATTAAAATATGTGAAAATTTCTAAATATTGCCTAAAATTGGCACCGCCGTAAAAGAAAGATGAATCAATTTTAGATACGCCGCTCATTTTTTCTATTACGTGCTCAGTAAAAAATTTAAGTCAAAAAAATAATGACAAATGATAAAAATTCTATGACAAGTAAAATATTTATTTTCACAATATTACGTAATAACTACCTTTGATTAATATTCTAGACCAGAGAATTGTTGAATATAGGAAAAAATATAGGATCGTTTGCTATAAGCACCAAATATCAAATATCTAAATATGATTGATAATGTAAAGGGTATCGAAAAGTATAGAAAATAATAATTCTCAAAATCGGACCGGATCATATTAGCAAAAGCTTTTACAAATTGAGCAAATCTTTAAAATTTACGATACCAATTTACGATAAAAGTTTCCCAAATGAACGTAAATAAAATAAGCGTGGTAAACTACGGAGTGATGTTATTTTCTGAAAAGTATGCTGGTAACTTTTAATGTATTTATTACTACATTTATTGGGGAAATAAATTTTCAATAATGCGGATACAAAAATTTAATAAAAAATTCAAATTTATTGCATGTGCCATCACATTTTTAATTATAGAAATTCAATTCAAATGAAAATAAATTTTAATATTATACGTTAATAAAAGAAAAAATTTTAATCATAATCTTTGGCACTTATTAAAATTTTTAATTAAAACATCATGCATACGCCATAATACTTTCATTTTCAATAAAATCCAAAAAATAAATATTTTTTTTTCTTTAACCAAAACACTATTAAAACAAGAAGTTTTTTTTTAATAACCCTTTTTTTAATTTTTCCGCATATATTTTAAATTTTATACTTATTTTTCCATAAAACATACACACAATCACTATAATAATTCAAATATTCAGACTTAGTTTGAGTACATAGTAAAAATAAAGTTAAAATTAATTAACATTTTTTCTAATAACTAGCTTTAGAGAAAAAAAATCTAAATTTTATATTTTTAAATAAAAAAAAAAATAAAGTTGGGCCAAATTTATGTTTGTAATGTAGCACTTTTCCCTTAAACAACCGCTGTTAAAAAAAAAATCAAAAATTGCATACATTTAGGAGTTGGCAAAAAAAAAAAATTGCAAAAGATGTTAAAATAATGCTGGAATTTTACGGTTAATGCGTAAGTAAAAAAAAAAAAATAATAATTATATTTTTCAATGGTATGGATTTTACAGTTAGTTTTCTGCACTTACAGAAATTTTAAACAGCTTGCAGTATCGCAAATATAAGACGGTAAAAATTCAAATTTTACAAATTTCGAAAGGTGATAACTTGCGAGAGTTAAACTTTTTATGAATATGCTAAGGGCTACAAAAATTTCAGACTCCTACAACCTGAGGTCTAGAAAATTTGTTCAAAACGCATTTTACATAAACGGTAAATTTTAACGGCCATTTTGTTTTTTTTTTTGAAGAAGAAATCAGCCACTACTTTTCTGCTTATTAAATTTTAAAATTACTTATATGGTTTCGCTGCAATAAAGAATTGAAATAATGTCATTTTTAAGGTTTTGGAGGGTTATAATTTTTAGATTGAGTGAGATAGGTAAAAATTTTCTTTTAGGGCAATAAGTTTCTCGGAAGTTCTAATGATGCAAAAATTTTAACTTTCTATTTTTAAGGGGGTAGAACTTTTGTAAGCATATCCACGGACGGACGGAGAGTGTAATGCTAATAAGCACTTTTTTTTTCAAAATTTTTTTTTGGAAGAGTGCTAAAAACAAAGTTGAAATGAAAGGAAATCATCAATGTTTTTTTATTACTTTTTGAATAGCACAATATTTTTATTTTGGAAAACGTAAAAAAACACATTGGAAAATAAATTAAAATTTTTTCTACAATCCTTTGATGATTCTGAATTTTTGTTTTTCTTTTTTCTATTCCTTAACTTTATTTACATTACTAACAACTTAACTTCTTTTATGTATGTTTAGAAAAAAGAAACAAAAAAAAAAATGTAAACTAACTATGGAAATAAATAATAATCAAGGTAAATAGAAAGAAATTATTTTTCTTTTACTTTCATGTCAGTGCAACATTATTAAAATAACTAGATCTACATTTTTATTTACTTATGGCATAAATATTTAACGACCGGTGTGAAAGAGAAAAACTTATAATATTAGAATAACGCAAAATAATAATAAACTTTTTAACCTATTTTAACCCTTTTTTTATACCACTATTAAATTACATTAAGAAAATAACCATAGTAAAATTTATATACACAACGTAAGTTAATAATATGCACACTGTATGATGGTTCAGTGTGTTTATTTCAAAAACAATGTTAAAGTACACGGTGATGATGCCTCAAATTTTTGAAATTAATGAAAAATAATAAAAAAATTATAAAATGAAAAATATTTATTAGAATCGGCGGCACGACACAGTGACATGGTTTCAATTAAAATCGTAATAATAAATTTGAATTAGCGAAACCTATGAATATGTTAATTATATAAGAAGCTTTGTTAAATTAGTCAATAAAATTGAAGAGGTAAACAAATTTAAGTCGATCTCAGTCGTGCTAGTTTTTGAAATAACATTTAAAATTCTTTTAGGCTTGTACCGCAGCTAGCCGAACCTGTTAAGCCATTTCACAAAAATTTTTCTAAGATCTGAGGTACAATTGAATATATGTTCAATTGTAACTCTCCTAAATTTCACTCAGTTAGGCTCTTTTAGGATTATATCGAAGGTAATCGAGTTAGTGTAGCCATTCATTAAAACTTTCAGGATGAGAATAAAATTTTATTAATCAGACGTTTACGAAATTTCTTATTGAAATTTTTATTAGAATTTCAAACATTTAAAATTTTTTACTCGAATTCGTATTTTTGAATAGGTCCAATTACAATAGTAGCTATCCTTAAAAAACTTTATAAAAGTTTAATAATGTTTGTTTTTCTTCTTTTTCAACTAATTGGGCGGATGGTCTTTCCAAATCAATGAAGAAATTGCAATTCACAATACGTCAGCTTTACGTATACAAATAATTTAACAATAATCCATAAAATAGACTAGATTCTTTTCATGAGGTTATTCAATTTTTCTATTTTCCGAGCTAATATAACTGACTGACTAACTCCGACTGACACTTTTCTATTCCTTCACCGTTCTTCATTTTGACAATTTTTATTAATTTAATATGCAGGTTAATCTAATACAGATTTATTTAATCCAAACTTATTCACTTTTATATCACTCTGTATATTTACCAATACAATTTTTTTAACTCAATATGCCCTAAAGTAAAATAAATAACATATTTATAAAAAATAATAAAAATTGAAGAGTTCAAAATCAAAAATAATAGTAACCATTAAAATATATGTACATATGTAAATGCAATGTAAGAAATTTATATGTATACAATTGTAACCACATTACACCCTTCTATACTCTTGTTGCAGCACTTTACAATTTTACTTAACGATTATATAGCTTGGGCCTTAAGAAAATAATTTCAAAATTTTAAAATATTTCTTTCAAAAACTGAATTATATTCAACTAAATGAAATGATATTGAAAAATGATTTTCATAAAATATTGAATATTAAATTTGAAAATTGTTAAGTTGATTAATGCCATGATTCAAGGGTTTTTTT